GATAGATAGATAGATAGATAGATAGATAGATAGATAGATAGATAGATAGATAGAGATCTACCCCATCTTCTTTATCCATTCATCCTTCGATAGACATTTGGGCTCTTTCCATACTTTGGCTATTGTGGATAGTGCTGCTATAAACATGGGGGTGCATGTGTCCCTTCATAACAGCACACCTGCATCCCGTGGATAAATGCCTAGTAGTGCAATTGCTGGGTCGCAGGGTAGTTCTATTTTCAGTTTTTTGAGGAACCTCCATACTGTTTTCCAGAGTGGCTGCACCAGCTTGCATTCCCAGAGGAAGCCTTTCTGAGAGTGCCTCTCTGCCACTGGTGTCTGGGGCATGCTAAACTCTGATTCCATCCTCCTCACTGCCACACCACCCCAGAACAGAAAGGGACACAGATGGGACTTGGGTCTGGCGCTTTAGGGGGTGGCAGTAGCATCCATGCTTTAATTCCCACAGAAAAATAGATTGGTAGGAGCATCTTTCTGAGGCCATCGTCACCTTCACTTCATCTCCAGCAGAAAGTGCAATCACTTATCAGTTGTGAGCCAGAATATAGCTGCTAAGCTTAAGATCTTTGAGAGAGTGACTTATGCTCTTGTGTAGTATTTCATGTTAAGTAGTTTCACTTCTTGGGTAGTAAATATTCTTATTTTATGGTCCTTCACACCTTATTATGGTATATGATGGCAGAGCTGTTTAATTCAAAGAACACTGGTATATTATCAGATAGTTTTTTTTTTCAACTTGCCCTGTGCCTATCTATATATTATTTAAATGTAAAAGCAAGTATCATATATATACATTTTTATTGGCTTTTTTATTTTCATAAAACCTATTCGTTTTTATTTAGTTTCATAAAACCTAATTCTTCTAATTAGAAATTTAATAATTTCTTTCATTAATATATATATGCAGGAAATCCTAAAGAATGAAAAAAATAGAGAAGTCGTTAAAAGGAAAAGCCAAGACCTTTATGAAGAGGAAAAACTCCTTAGCAAAGAGAACGAAGAACTTTTGGCTCCACCAGTTCAGACTCAGATCAAAGGCCACGCCTCTGCTCCATACTTTGGAAAGGAAGAACCCTCAGTGGCTCCCACCAGCACTGGTAAAACCTTTCAACCGGGATCCTGGATGCCACAAGGCGGCAAGAACCCCAATCAATGAATGCACTGTGGTAATACTTCATTTGTATGTAACTTTTTTAACAATAAAATAAAGATTACTTTATTTTCTGACTGTACAATAGTTCTCTATCCCAGTAAGCTTAGAATTCATTTTTAGTATGCATAAGAAATGTGAGGTTATGAACTATAGAAACCTTTTTTTCTTTAAGATTTTTAAGTTCTCTCTCCACCCAACGTGGAGTTCTTTTTGCACACTACTGACTGAGCCAGCCAAGTGCCCCTAAACCTGACTTCTTTTAGACTTAACTCCTTCATTTGCTTTAGTCATCATTCTGTTTATTAATTTGTCTGTTAAGATTGCTCCCTTGAGAAGGATCCTGTTAAGATTGCTCCTTTGAGAAGGATCCTGTCACTTTAAATGCTCAGTACATTTTGGATCCTTATGATCATTTAGGAGCCCTAATGTATATATCATGATAGAAATAAGGGTAGTTAGTGAGCTCTCCTAAATTACCCAATTAAAAAAAAAAAAAAGTGAGAAGACTGCTTGTAAGATTCTAAAGAATTAATAAAAAACATGATCTTGGATTATGTGAAGGCCAAGAAAATTTAATTGAGAAATGGATATGAAAAAAAAAAAAAAAGCCATGATGACTGGATGAGACTAAAACTAGCTTATGGCAGGATTAAGGTTGGCGTTTGAAGCGAGGAATTAGGGCCAATACAAGTAGCCAATCTATCGCAAGTCTTAAACAGAGAAATGGTACAACTGGAGTTCTAGGAGATTAAAAATTATCTTAAGAAAATGAAACATAGGGTTCTGAGCAATTCCAGTGACAGTAGGGATTCTAGTGGCTCCTATATTGAAGAAAAATGTAGACAGGTGATGTTAAAACACTCATTATCATACAAAAGTATTTTTCTAATGTTTATTTGTTTTGAGAGAGAGAGAGAGAGAGAGAGAGAAAGAAAATGAGTGGGAGATGGACAGAGAGGAGAGAAAGAAAATCCCAAGCAGGCTCCACCCTGTTAGCACAGAGCCCCTTGGGGCTCAATCCCGTGAACCAGGAGATCATGACCTGAGCCACAACCAAGGGTCAGATGCCTAACAGACTGAGCCATGTAGGCTCATATATACCTTTTATTATACAAAAATATTTTTGAAGGGTCAAGTTTTCTGAAGTGCACAAACAAGTTTTTGTTGCTAATACAGAGTTCTTCTCTGTGTGTGGCATTATAACAGATGCTCAATAAATATGTACTGAATAAGTGATCCAAATTTCAATGCTCTATAAGGAAATCCTTGGTTAAGTATTTTAACAGTGAATTCCTAAAAACACATAGGTTAATATTTTTATTTAATAGAAGGTAAAAAAATTTAATTGCTTAAGAAATAAATATCAGAAAAATACTTTATAAAATGTAATATTAAAACAAATAATCAAATGTAATTATGACATAGTTATTGAATAACACAAAAGCCACTTGGTGATAATACTAACATTCCAGCAACCCTGTTAATATGAGGTTAACCATTGTGTCTCTATATCATTACAAAGTAATGTTACATTTTACCATAGAGGCAAAAAAGGAACTAGCCACCACGCAGTATAAAGAGGTAAAATTTATAGTACAATTGATTATAATTAAGATGTTCTTGAGTCCTGGGTTACAAGAAAAACTGCAAATTTTCTAACATGCTAGAATACGTCTACTGCCAAATTCCTATTAGCTTATTAAATGTATTCCATACATATCTTTTTATAAATGTTTGCCTTGTAGTTTGTAAATATCTTAATGTTATGACAGAATTTACATTAACTTTAATTTTTAGGTTTTCATTTAAAAAAAACTTGTTTTATTAACGACAGAAAACAAACTGATGGTTACCAGAGGGGAGATGGGTGGGAGGACAGGTGAAATAAATAGGTGATGGGAATTAAGGAGGACAGTTGCTATGATAAGCACTGGGTGATGTATGGAAGTGCTGAATCACTATATTGTACGCCTGAAACTAATATCACACTTTATGTTAACATAACTAACTGGAATTTAAACAAAAACTTTAAAAAAATACAAAAAACTAGGGGAGGCATAAAATAAATAAATAAAATACTTGTTTCACATAAGCAGCAAAAGAAAATCTTAACCAGAAGTCCTTGTGGGAAAATACCTGAGTATGACACTGGCCCACCATTTTTGGTAGAGCACACTTTTTTTTTAAGATCTTATTTTTAAGTAATCTCTACACCCACTGTTGGGCTTGAACTTACAACCCTGAGATCAAGAGTCACATGCTCCACTGAGTCAGCCAGGTGCCCCTGGAGCATGCACTTTTAAAGTGATTTCAAGGGGTGCCTGGGTGGCTTAGTCAGTTAAGCGTCCAACTTCAGCTCAGGTCATGATCTCACGGTCCGTGAGTTCGAGCCCCATGTCGGGGTCTGTGACGACAGCTCAGAGCCTGGAGCCTGCTTTGGATTCTGTGTCTCCCTCTCTCTGACGCTCCCCCGTTCATGCTCTGTCTCTCAAAAATAAATAAACATTAAAATAAATAAATAAAGTGATTTCAAGAAGTGGAAATGACAGTTCTAGTAATACATCCAGACTCTTCCTCAAGACTAACATTTTTTGGATATCTGGTGGCACTGTTAGATGGCAAGGGAACAGAGCTGTATGTCCTACATAAAAACTGAACCTAAAAACCTTGGCCTAATTCCAATTACCTTTCTATGCAATCTTTTCTATATTTGGCTTTTATGCCAAACACATGCAAAGCAGAACTAAAGTGTTAAATATTAGTTTGTCTGCCACATTTTGTATTTTAAATTGTTATATTTTGGACACTCACAAGTTTTGTTTTAATAAACATGTCCTTACTGCTTCAAGACCAACTTCAACCCTATGCAAAGTTTTTTTAATTCCAAAAGTAAAAATGTTCCAAGTTAAGTGTCAGATATACTTCAAGTGCTTTCTCAGAGGTAAATCCTTGATTTCCTATGCATGTGCTACACATGCAAACAGCAGATTTTTGCCTGTTTAAGTATAGAAAATGTGTTGACTATTGGGGTTAATCATATAAATCTAGCCTATCAGCTATGCCTTGGATATGTGAAGTTGAAAATCAATAAAAATGGAGGAAAAAAACTTTCCCATTATCTGTTATTCTTTTCCATTCCTACTTTTACTGATATCTGGCTATCATTTATTTCTTAATTGAATCAGCCTTGAGCCAATACCTTATTTTTTTAATGCTACCTCATTAACCACACTATTTAAAATGTAATCTGATCTTGGGGCACCTGGGTGGCTCAACTCAGTTGAGTGTTTGATTTCAGCTCAGGTCATGATCCTAGGGTCAAGGGATAGAGCCCTGCATCAAGATGCACGCTGAGTATAGGGCCTACTTAAGATTGTAGCCTGATATCACCAAACAAAGCAAAACAAAAAACAAAAATAAAATAAAGTAAAATGTAACCTGAATTTATTTAGAACAGGCTTTCTCAAAGTGTTTATGTTCTCTGGGGAAAGAAACAGCAGTGAGAAGTCTATGATAGTCAAATTAAGTTAAAAGCTTCCAAGAAATCGTGTAGGAATAATCCTAAATTTTATTTTATATTTCCCAAACTGGTGGTATTTGAAAATGGAATGTTTTAATGTTTGAGAAATACATATATTTGTGTGAGTATGTGTGTGTATGTATGTGTGTGTGTGTGTGTATATATATATATATATATGTATATTCCACATATATTCCAGATATGAAGTAAATCAGAGTGATACTATAACCAACTGCAATATAAAGACAATCATTCCTTAACAGGAATCAGTAACAGGATATGAGATGAGGTGTTAAGTGGCCCTGGCCACTTTCCTTTACATTATGTGTAAGGAAAGAAGGAATGGGTCAGGACTTATTAATAATAATGTATCTCAACATTAGTTTACCGGCTCACACCTTGGTAAGCTTACTTCATTTGCTTTACTAGAATTCCAAGAAAAAAAAGTAAAAAACACTGTACCAAAAAAGTATATCTGATCTAGTAATACCACACTGAAATTCTTCACATGCATACCAAGGATCAAAATCTGACACACCAACTTTTGTTTTTGGTAAAATATCTGTCTACAGGCAGGCTGTGTTTTTCCTAAAACCAGCCATAAAAAGGTAACTGATTAGATTAGCTCTCAAAGCTTAGGAAACAGCATAATAGACAACTTTTAAAGGAAGTATTATGGCTAATAGTAAATGGGATTCTTTCATCAATAGTACTATTTGTTGCAGTGAGAGAAGATTGATTGTTCTGAAGAATCTGAACCCTCAAAATACTCTATTTTACATCCCCCCAAATCCCCCACATACACACAAACATATAGACATACATATTATGAAACCTTGATCACACATATAAAAAAAGGTCCCATAAATGTTGGGAAAAGCCAAACCTGAGGAAACAAATGGCATATGCCAAACAAATACAAAATTGGCATGTGTTAAGACTTTAAAAGAAATTATAGAAAAAAAAGATTTCAGTTAAATTTTTTTTTTTTTTAACGTTTATTTATTTTTTTGGGACAGAGAGAGACAGAGCATGAACGGGGGAGGGGCAGAGAGAGAGGGAGACACAGAATCAGAAACAGGCTCCAGGCTCTGAGCCATCAGCCCAGAGCCTGACACGGGGCTCGAACTCACAGACCGCGAGATCGTGACCTGGCTGAAGTCGGACGCTTAACCGACTGCGCCACCCAGGCGCCCCTCAGTTAAATATCTTAAAATTGTAATGAGAACCAATGAAAACACAGCTTTAGTAGGTAACTGAGAATTATGGTGAATAGATCTTTTGCTGCAGTACTTTTACTCTAAAATGTGACCGACCATAAGGAAGACTTATGGGCTCTGTAGATCCAGGAGGGCCAATAGATCTACAGAAGCATTTTTTTTCAGTTTGAATTGCAATGGTAATTCTAACTATTAAAACTTCAGTGGCAATAAAAAGGTCACTAGATATCCTAGATCACCTGAGTAATATAACGAAACACTGGAGTGGCAATATGTTCATTACACTGGCACCACGTTGGAACTGACAACCTAACGTATGTTACTGTTCAGACCAGCCCATCAACATTCTCAGGAGTCCTTAGGTATTTGTAGTTGAGAAACACTGTCCTCAGCTTTTGTAAGTATGCTTTTAGCTATAAATGAAATTCATAACCCTTTGAAAAGTCATCTATTTTTAATTACTGTATTATTATTAGCCCCCCTTAAAAAAAAAACCAGGACCTTTTTATAAAAAAGTATCAAATTTATTTCAATATCTAGTTCCATTTTTAAACTAAAGCTGGTGGACAATTTTTTGTAATTTAAACTTCATTATCAGAGGGGAGGAAAACATTAATAAGCTATTATATACTGACAGCAAATAAAATTACTGGACTATGCATTTATAAAAGCCTGTTTAATAGTAAAAAGTTCCAGTTATCTACTTAACCAAAGGAAAGATCCTTTAGCTCTTTATTTCTAATTTTAACACATATCTCATTTTGACATAATTTACCTTTTTCATCTAATTACTGGTATGATGACCAAAATTTTTCCAAATGTTAAACCTTTCTTTACCACTTAGGAATTACAACTTAACTATTACTTTTTAAGAATTCCTTAAAAGAAATTTGAAATTTTAATTTTCAC